ATAATGGCTTGTTTAGAGATGTTGACGAGTTGTGCTTGAATGATTTCAAGCTGAGTGAGTCATTGACGGAAATGAGTCCTTTGCACTGCCACCGATTCATCCCACACGACTTGGCTCGCTTCTTTGGAGTGAAGACAAAGCGAAGCATGCTAGAGTCTATGAGCAGTGATCCCTCGTTCGAAACCTTCTCACAGAAAGAAGATCTGTGCAACCGACTCTACCGAATCACCACCAATTACTCGAACCCCATGGATATCTTCAAGGAGCTCATCCAAAATGCAGACGATGCACGTGCCTCAGAAATTCAATTCATCCTAGATCAGAGAAATCTTCCAAAGCAGCGGGTGATAAACGATAACTGGGAGAAGCTCCTCGAACCTGCTTTGCTAGTGTTTAATGACGCGTTCTTCACAAGTGAGGACATCAAGGGAATCAAGGACCTCGGCAAGGGTTCCAAAGGTGATGATGTTGACAAAATTGGTCAATTCGGAGTTGGTTTCAACTGTGTATTCAGCATCACAGACCATCCTTGTTTTCTGACTCAAGTAGACGGAGTCGGGCCTGGAAACATGTGCCTTCTGGACCCCAGTTGCCAAATAACACCCGATCAAGGAAAGAAAATCAACATCAACGAAGATCTGTTCACGAATTTCCCTGATTCATTTGGATGTTTTTTTGCTGAAAACCGGAAATTGGACGGCAGAAAAGGCAAGACCATGTTTAGACTACCTCTGAGACGCAAGGAATCTAGTTTAGGCAAAACGGCTTCAAATTTTTCTGAGATGTCTGAAAAATTGGAGCAACTAGCTGAAAAATTGCCCGAGTATCTTCTATTTTTACCGAATATCAAAACAATCCGAATTCTTCGAACTAACACCTGTGGAGACTTGACAGAAATTGCCGCGTTTTCGAAAAAGACAGAGAAAAGAACTGCGGAAGTATCAAAAGTTCAAATCAACTCAATTTCAAATCGATCGCAAAAAGTATGCGAGTGGCTTCTAAGCGAGCGGAAAGATTCATCCCAACAGATTCCCGATCTCATTCGCAGACTTTTTAGCCGCGGTTTGCATTTAAAAGAACATGGCTCCGTGGCATTCCCTTTGTATTTGGCTGACAGCCTGAAGACTACATTTCCTAGCGTTTATTGCTATCTTCCGATAGAGGCGGCCCTCCTGAGGAACGAGAGTGTTCGGGTCCCTGTAGTGGTCAATGGACAATTCTTCCTGGATGAGTCCAGACGCATGCTCAGTCTCCAGCCTCGGGAGCCAAAAGGTGCCTGGAACATACATGTACTGCAGCACATTGTAGGACCTGCTTATGGCACACTAATCAGGTATTTCATATCGACTCTCAAAACGCAAATCGCCCCAAATGATTCAATTGAGTACTTTTTATCGATGTTGCCTAAATTGCACTCATCATATCAGCTATCGTCAAAGAGTATGGAGTCAAATTTGGGGTACCATATCTCATTGGGAATGATGCGCTATAATGCTGACTACGCATGGATTCCGAGAGTAAGCACTGAAAAAAAGATTGTTGATTTAATGAATACTTCTTCGATTCTAAACTTGGATATTCAGAAGAACAAAGATCTCGTTCTATACAAGATCTCTTCGGCCCTAGATATCCCTCTAACTCAAATCGGACCCGAATACATCAAATGGTGGGCCCACGTTGGTATCAATGTAACACCATTGAGTCCCAGTAACGTAATTCTGAAACTGGCTGATTTAAATTTTGACCGGATCAAAATTGAAGCAACTGCATTTGAGAATTCCTCCAACTTGGTAACTTTTCTAAAGTGGGGCGAAAAAGAATTGAACGAGCACTCAAATCCAAACAGTCTGCCCATATTTCTGTCTGCCAATGGAATACTTCAAAGAAATACTGCTAATAAACTCTTCAGTAGCGCCCTGTCAATCGCAGAAATTTTCCCTCGACTCCGAGACCGAATTTTGGACGATGACGTAGACAGATGCCTGCGCTCTCTGAAAATAGCATGCAATTTGAGAGTTAGCGAGTTTTTTGTTTTCATGAAAGAAAATTTTGGGCAACTATGTCACGACAAACCAGTGTATTGGAGCAAAATCAAAGGAGAAATAAGTATATTTTGGGTGCGGTTGGTTTGGGATTTCCTGGCGCACCACCAAAAAGAAGTATTGGAAAAATTCAGAGTCCCCTTGGAGAAAATGTCTCTCCTTCTTTGCCTTGACAGTAGAAGCGTTTTGGTGTTGTTGCCTGCTTCAATCTCCGCAGATTACGTGTTTGCATCTTTCCAGACAATAATTATCGGCACAGTTTCAATAAATCCTAAAAACTATTCCAGTTTCTATCGAATCTCTGAAGAGCTGAATCAATCTGGAACCCAAGGGGAAGTATTTAAAACAAAGTTCATAATGCCTTCAGTTCTAACTGTGGAGCGCCATCTGCATATTCTAAATGCTATAAACAAGGAAAACCAATTTGATAAATTTTCAAAAACTCAAAGAAAACAACTTTACTCGTATTTTCGAGACTCTTTCTGCAACAAACCGTCAATTTTCTCAGCCAATGAACTAGAAAAGCTACAAAATTTACCAATTTTTTCTTTTGTAAATTCCACCGCCGGATGTCTGCCGTTGTCAGCCTTCAGCTCCGTAGTTTCAATGTCGCCCAATATACCGCTAGATGGTCTAACCCTAACTGATAACGAAACCAATCGTATGTTTGTGTTCCGAGAAGATCAAGAAGCGATCCCTCGAGGCGCTCAATTCCAGCAAAAGCTTGGGATTGAATCAAAATCAGATGCTGAACTGTATTCCATTTTCATCCCAAAATTCTTTCCCCGAATGAATAAAAGCGAAATGAAAACACACTTTCAGTATTTGGAAAGCAAACTTTTTAACATGAAGGAAGCTGACCGGAACTCGCTGAAAGACCTGCTGCAGAAAACGGAATTTGTTACCGACGAATATGGTAATAAATTAGCTCTTGCAAACGTCTTCCAGATTGAACTTCGATCAATTATCGGATATTCAATCCCGATTTCCGATTTTGCCGCAGTTGGAATCGTTCAAAATGGATACGTGGATAAATTGGTAGGAGCCTATAAATTCCCTCCAGTTTCCAAAATTGTTTCGAACTGGAAATTGCTAACAGAAGATTCCTCAAAAAATTTTGACCTTAAATGCTTCGAAATTTGCGAAATTGTTAATTATCTGGTGGCCAGAAATTTAGATATGGGTGCGAATGAAGAAGTTGCGGATGCATTGAAGCAGCAAAATTTGCTTCCTGCTAACGACGTGAACCAATTCTGCAGTAGTTCTTCAATTTGCTTGAACGAAAATGCTCCAGTTTATAAAGGACATCTTTATCGAGTGAACTCCCTGGTTACAAAGGGAGTTCAAAACTTGGAAAAGAAACAATTTCTCAGAAAGTGTGAAGTAGTTGACAGTTTTGCGCCATCTAAGTACTCGGAAATAATTAATAGCATCCAGACGGTCGAACGGCCTGAACAAATTAAACAAATGGTGTCTATTTTGTGGTTTATTTGTAAAGATCATGTGGATGTAAGGCAACTTCCCGACAGTTGCTCAGTAATGAGACCAATAGATGAACTCTGTTTAAACGACTTCGAGTTGAGTTCGAATGCCTTGGAAGATAGCTTGAATTTTTGCCACGAGGAATTGCCGCATAAGTTGTGCAAAATGCTGGGAGTGAAGACCAAACGAAGCAAATTGAAAGAGATGAATATTGAGGTCAGTTTTGAGCCGTTTGTCCAGCGGGAGGATATCAATAAGCGACTGGCAAGGATAGCAGAAAGCTACTCGAACCCCATGGATATCTTCAAAGAGCTGATCCAAAATGCAGACGACGCTCAGGCCACCCAAGTTCACTTCATTCTAGACCAAAGAATACTGCCCACCAAACATGTCATAGACCGTGGGTTCGAAAAACTGTTGGAGCCTGCGCTGCTTGTGTTCAATAATGCGCCATTCAAGTCATCCGATATCGAAGGCATTCAACGTGTAGGCTGCGGGTCAAAGGGAGACGACATTGAGAAAATCGGACAGTTCGGAGTAGGATTCAACTGTGTGTACAGCCTAACAGATTCTCCTTGCTTTCTGACACAGGTGGACGGAAAAGGAACGGGAAGCCTGCTTTTACTCGACCCCTTGTGCATAGTTAACAAAACGGGTGGCTGTAAAATTCACATGCGTGAAAGTTTTGTGAAAACGTTTAAAGACAGCTTCAATTGTTTTTTGAGAGACAAAGAAGGGCTTGACGCTACCAAAGAAGGATCGATGTTCAGGTTTCCGTTGAGAATAAAAAAATCAAATTTGGGCAAGGAGGCGCCAAAAATGGTTGATATGGAGACAAAATTGATCGAATTTTCGTCCAAGATTTCAGAATACCTCCTCTTTTTAAATTACATCACGTCAATCGAAGTATCAATACTTGCAGAAAAAGGAATAATGAAATGCATTGGAAACTTTTCGAAAAAAATTGCCAGGGATAACAAAACCACACTGGAAGAGTTTAGGTCTCATATGAAGCAGTTCCTATCAGTCAATTCTCACACAGAGAAGGCAAAACTCAATATTATGTACAATATTGACATCATGAACGACACACGGAGCAAATTAGTTTCAAGGTGGATAGTTTCTGAGCAATTGGGGTCGGAACGCGCAGTTCCTGACATCATTCGTAAGAACACTGCAGGAAAATACAAGGTTAAAGAACATGCTTCAGTCGCATTCCCCGTATACCTGGATGACTCTTTGAAGGGCACAGTTCCTAGCGTTTATTGCTATCTTCCGATAGAGGCGGCCTCAGCCCTCCTGAGGAACGAGAGTGTTCGGGTTCCTGTAGTGGTCAATGGACAATTCTTCCTGGATGAGTCCAGACGCATGCTCAGTCTCGAGCCTCGGGACCCAAAAAGTGCCTGGAACATACATGTACTGCAGCACATAGTAGGACCTGCTTATGCTAAAATTGTGTTGCACTTCGTTCTTACATTGACTGAAGATGGAAGTGCGTTTCAACTGAATGAATTTTTGCAAAAATTTCCTAATTGTAGAGATGATACTTCAACACTTAGTTATACAGAAAGCATGACCTCATTTGTAACTACTGGTTTCCTAGACGAAATGAACAAAAACACTTGGGTTCCTTGTGTTAATTTTGATGGAAAACTCCAAGAATTTCAATCAATAAATTATGTTAAAAATTTTACAAATGTTGCAGCAGAATATCAAAAATGTTCGTTATACCAGATAACGAAAAACTTGGGTTTGAAACTAACGCAAATTCCTCCAAGCTACACACATGCTTGGAGCTGCTATGGCACATCAATATTAAAACTGAAACCCGATGACTTAATTCATTTGCTCCGGCAGATTCCGAATAATTGCAGTAAAATTGAAGAATCAGTGTTTGAGAGCGTGAACAACCTTGTCATATTCCTAAGCTGGAGCTCAAAAACACTGCGTGAATTAGAATCTGCTGATGATCTACCCATTTTTTTGACAGCGGACAAAATTTTGCGTAAAAACTTAGATGTTCAATTGTACAGTAGCGCACTGAGCGTCGCGCAAATCTTCCCGCAACTCAAAGAACGAATTGTGCATCATGAAATTGATGGCCAACTGAAAAACCTCAAACTCACTGTTGAGATGAGTTTGAATGATTTTCTTACTCATTTGAAATCTCATTACAACGAATATTGCAGCGGAGGTGTGATTGAGGTTAATCAAGCTGATTTATTTCATACATCGAGATGGATAGAACTTGTGTGGAAATTTCTCGACACGTGCGTTGAGCCACATGAAATACAAAACGATAGTACATTTAGCGAATTGTCACTTTTGCAATGCAATGACAAACATCAAACCTTTTTTCTGCGGCCCATTTCTAGGGGCAAAATTGATACTTTTGTGACGTTTCCTTCCCTGCATATTGGTTCAGTTGAAGTACTTGCTGAAAAATACAGCGGAATTTTCGAGCTCGTTTCCACTTCGAAGCAGAGCTACATCCAACTAATTGCATCAGCTGTTCTCTCTAAAATTTTGACAGTGAAACAACAAATCATGATACTTCATATCATTAAAGATGAATTTGACTTCAAGGATTCTGAATCACTACAGTTGTATGACCACTTCAGAAACTCATTCGAGAATAATACTCGGTGCATTGATCAAGAATCTTTCATCGAGCTCAGACAACTTCCAATTTTTGCCCTAATTTTTGGTGAAATTGACCGTTTGCTTGGTCCCCAGGTGTACTCAATTCCACGAGAGGTTCCTAAAAACGGACTGTTATTGTCAAGGTCAGTGGGTTATAAGTATGTTCACCAAGAAAACAAACCTCTCCATATAGAATTCCAGAAAAAGCTCGGAATAGTTCGATTGACCACAACCCAGATGTACGTGGAAATGTTAATTCCTATCATGTTTGAAAAGTTCGAATTTAGAGATTTGGAAGTCCATTTGGAATTTCTCTCCAGCATTCACAGCAATCTGCCCTTCGAAGAGCGTCGAGTACTAATAAGTTCCTTACAGGATTGCCATTTCATCAATCACAAAGACGACATCAAACAGAAACCCGAAAGCTTTTTTGATCCCAATAGTGATTTATTCCGTGATTTCAAAAGATCCGAGCTCTTGCCGATCAAGTTTTTGAGATTCAGACCATTATTATTAAAATGTGGGGTGAAAAAATTAACGAAAAATTATTTTTGGCAATTCGTCTCGCTCTATAGCGCCCAAACAGACTGTGAAAACAGCTTCACAGTATTTTGTCATTTCTTAGAAGCTTTCAAAGCTCTCAAGTTAACCTCAGACGATTTCGATGCTATTGGACGTCTGGCCATTTTTGAAACGGAGAAACACGGATACTGCACATTAAGCCAAGTATTCATCCACTGCCACAAGGTTTTGGTTGAGTTCATTGAACCAGTTTTGACTTCAAAAACGAGTGATATCCTGCTGCAAAATATAAATTTTCAGTGGTTGTGGAACTCTGGATGTCAAAAGAAACCAACAGCAGATGTTGTTTTGAAAAACTTGGAAAAGTTAATTCAAGTAAAAGCTCCACAGGACCAAAAAATATTGACATGCTTCGGCTTCATTGCTAAAGAAGCTTCAAGCGGCAGTCAAATGGACAGAAACATTCTTGAAAGACTGTCTTGCATTCCATGTGTTAGGAGTGCCAATGGCAGACTCCTCCCTCCTCGTCAAATCTGTAAATCTTTTGCATGTATTCTGCACAAATCTGTTGGCAATGAAGTGAGTACTGTTCAAAATCATTGTGAGTTAGAAGCTTACGTAAATGAACCATCGAATGAGTTCTTAGCAATATGGGACCATCTTAGCATTCTGGGTGCCTCGAAGTTTATAACACTTCAGCAAATTGTCTTCGCAATCGATCAATTTCACGGGGAAATAATGACCGAGATAGTTTGGACTGGAAACCCCAACTCCAAACAACGCTTCCGTCGACTTAACCAACACTTGAAATCATTTATTTCGACTGAAGTCAATGAACTGTCAAGTTTGAGCATCGAATGTCCGATCTACCTAATGACAAAAGACGAAAAACTAGTTGACATACGTGACGCTATCGCTATAGACGATCAAAAGTTGTATGACGAACTGAGACGGAATTCGACTTCAACGGGAACCGTCAGTGGCATTGACAGCGACTGTTCGGGATACTTGCTAGATGCCCAAACCATCCACGATGATTTTTCTGATTACATTTACTATTTGAAATTTTTGCCTAAAGCCCTACGGCCTCAGTTTTTCTCCGATATTTGCCGAGTTGAACTCGACGAAACTACATTGAGCGAAGCAAATTCTGCAGCCGACGAGTTCAAATTGGAGCGAATCATGATTAAGCTCAGAAATGACTCTTTCATTGAGAAGTTAGCTCACGTTTTGCAACATAAAGACAAAATGGTGGATGAAGACGGCTTTCATCGTTACCCAAAACGCTTAAGAATCGAGCCTTTTTCAACAAAGTGCTTAGAATACTTAAAACAAACCAAATTGTACCCTGTAAAAAAGCTGTTCTCTCGATACACAATCAACAAGAGGGGTGGCAAAATAAGCGATTTGTTTGTAAGGGATTTTCAATGCCGAGAAAACCCTAATCTGGAGATATTTTTCCAATTTTGGGACAACGTGAACACTGATTCTTATGAAAATGAACAAAAAAAGAACAACCTCCTCCAGAAAATAACACGAACCTTGTTTAATTGTCATAAGCTCAATTTGTCCAGCAATTTAGACACGTCGGTTATTAATTTTCTGACTGAATTTTTGTTCTTCAGTCAAAGTGAAGCAGAAGAAGATGCTTTGATGCAGAAGAATCGAATACCACCATTAGTTCAAAACTCAAGCGACAAACAAGATGCTTTCATCGGAAACTTCATTCCCATTGCTTATCTTGCGCTTATAAATTACGACATAGACAGTAAAATAGCAACTGGTGATTTCGTAGCCGTTAAAGTAAGTACTAATGATGACGGCGAGCCAATCTTCAAATACGGAAAGCTCATTAGTGAAATCAACTCCAGTGAAAACTCGTCGTTGTCCGAACCCAGTGAGCAATTGTTTAAAATACAACTTGGCAGCTGTTTGTTTAAGGACGTGGAAAGAAAAGAGCTATTTAGTTTTCACGAAAAACTTGTCACTGAATCAAATCAACCCGAGAACCCGTCTACCGAGGGTTGCTCTTTGGAGGAGCAATTAAAACGCGATGTAGAAAATATCAAACAGAGTGTGTGGACTGCTGTCAAAAGCCAAAAACCAGGTGATCACCTGGAATCCAACATGAGTGAACTAGAACTTCGATATGTGCAAACCATTTTGAATAAGTATCCTAACGCTGACCAGCAACAAACACTAATGAGGGTACTTCAAGATGCCATAAAAACACAAACCGAAGTGAAAAGAAACGAAATCATGACTGGAAATGTCGACACATACAGAGCAATTGAGACAGAAAGTTCGGAGCCTGCAAGTATTGTACAAAACTTTGTTAAGCGTCACTATGAGCGAATGGAGCAGCATATAGCTGCCTACAAGATCCAGTTAGAAGTGAGAAATGTGAACGAACCAAGACAAGCTCCGATTACAAGAGGAAGAGTGCAGTTCCGTAGTGAATCGTTCCAGCAGCCACACCCAGTTCTAGCCAAGCTCTGGCTCCAGCAAGCTCGTAATCATTTCAAATTTCTGGGCGAAAACGTGGAAGAAAGGAATACTTCGATTCGAGAAAGAAACAGAAATTGGATTGTCGACATTTCCTTGAAGGTAAGTCACAAATAGATTTTGTTCCGACCACCCCTTAAGAGTGTAAATAGGTTTTAGTACGAGGATCAATTTCAAAAAAAGCCTTAAAACAAAAGCCCCAAAAAGAGACCCCATAAAAGCATCATAGCTATCTTGTCGCAAAATAAACTAAGCTAAACGAAATACACTAAGCTTCTCCATAGTCTGGGCGTATTTTTGCATCTACCCGATGAGCATTAGAATTTTTGTTGCGACCATTTGAAAAATGGGGAGGAACTTTGTATTCGGGTGTGTTTTAGTTTTTTTGTTAATTATCGGAATGGGTCAAGTGATATATTATATTCAAGTCCTTTCAGTCGTGATTTGATCAACTTTAAAAAAAATTTCAAATTTTTTTTACAGTGCCGAGAAAAACCGGATTGAAAATTTTGATTTTTGGGCTAATTTCGAAATAAAATGGTGTGAGCGTGTAGGCTTACAATAGCTCATTTAAGCTTACTTAAAGCCGTGAAAACCTGGTTGTACTCAAACGAAAGTAGTTTTTGAAGTTTTTTAGCGCAATTTTCTAAACAAAGGTTAAAATTTCAAAAATTTCAGTAAGTTTTTTTTACAATTTTTTTTTCGTTTTTCTAGTCAATTTTCTTCAAAAACTGTTTTTCGAATGGCCTTTTTACTATGACAGTCAAATAAGTTCTTTTTATTTGTTCAGATATTTTTATCACACCATGCTGAAAAAATAACAACATTAATCTAAAAAAAATGTTTTTTTTTTTATTTCTAAGACTGTGGTCGAAACATTCTGAGCTACTTGCACAGTAGCTGGCTATCCTTGTTACAGACATAGGATGTTTGGGAACGCTGTAGTTACAATGCCGTTGAATAATCGGTATTACAGTATACAGCCATCTGTTGGCGAATGAAAAGGTGTTGACTGCTACTCTGACTCTTCTTTTTTTACCTAATTACATGCTGTTTTTAAGGAAAAGAACGTTTTAAAAAAAAATTTTTTTTTTCGGGAAGCAAATAGTTTTTCATGCTACTAAATGTTTTTGAATGATTACTGTGACTCAGAGGCGGGAGCAATTTTGTGCAGTTTTATATATCGATTAGTTTGATTTTCAAGCTGACTTAAAACCCTATAGAGACTCTTTTTTTGCCGAAAATATCTGGCGCTCGCGACTTTATATTGGCAATTTTAGACCGGCGCAACTAAAACTTGGTAATTCAAACCCGGCGCGATTGAAAAAAAAAACAAACACAATCTGCGCGATTTAAAAAACCATCGAAACCTGTGCAACATAAGGAAATGGCGCGACTGAAAACTGCCATTTCCGGAGATAAACACCGCAACCGGCGCGACTTAAGAACTCACCGAGACCGGCACGACTTAAGAAAATGAAGCGATCGGCACGATTAAAAATTGCAAATATCGGACTGGCACAACATAACAAACCGCCGTGACCTGTGCGACTGAGTAAAAATTTTTAAAAAAATCCTGAGTCGCGCCGCTCATGTCCTTTCTCAGATCGTGACATTAAGGTCTTTTCTTAAGTCGCACCGCTAAATTCCTTCTTAAGGTCGCGCCGTCAGTCTTTACAAAAGTCGCGTCGTCAGCCTTACTTAAGTCGTGCTACTAAAATTTTTATTCAAGTCGCGCTGCTAAAATATTTTCTTAAGTCACTCCTGTTAAATGTTTGCTCAAGAGGACGACTGTGTTGCATGTTTAATCTCATTGATTTGCTTGGTTCTTTTTCAGAACGCATATGTTATCATAGTTACTACCGACCCTGCAGGTCAAACGTCTAGACTTGGTCGCAGCCAAGTTCGATAAATTGATCTCTACTATATAGTTCAACTTTCAACATTCTCCTTTCCTATGTCAATCTGACCTAAATCAAATCAACTTAGTTTTCTGTATACCAAGTAGTTAAGGGTATAGTTTGAACATCTTCTACATTTCAAGACTAATCACATCTTTTTCCTTGTAGCCAATCGGGCATACGTGCTCATCGCTTTCAACGCATTGTCATTGGTAAAGTCGATTTACATCAGTTTTCCGGATTCGATCACGCACATCAAGTCCCTACCGATCATTGATTTGGTCAGACAGTCTGCTATCATCATCGTCGTCGGGATATAATAATAATTTCGTCCTTCGCTTTTCACCATCGATCTCACCACTGCAATATCTTGTCTAGGCAATTTCACATGTCAGTTAACGCCGTAAATAAATCGAAATTATCTCGTAGTCCCAGGTCGTAAAAAATAGTTCCCCAGTATACGCACTCCTCTTTCGTCAGCCTTGTCGCATATGTCTCTGCACCAAAATTATCTGTGTGTCCGTCGCACCCTTCTCGATTGCCAGTGAATCACCTACACTTGATCACTGTTTTTTGGCCCAACGACTCCCATTTGGCCCATTGTCGATTCCTTCTTTTGTAGGTCGCGTCCCCGCAAAAATCTAAAGGTAACTTGCTATAAAAATTCTTAATTTGTTCTCGTGTATTGGTCGTCTCTTGTACTATCGTACGACACTTTTGAGCGTTCTTATGACATCTCATATTGATCTCGTGTTCAGTAGGCTCAAGACATTGTTCATTCGGTCAGCAAGATCTGGTCTGATTAGTGTTGTCATTCATTGTGAATTTCCGATCAGTGATCTAGACAATCACAAAATAATTAGACACAGTCATTTCGTTATCTGCTGCTGACGTATTACCGAAATCCTGGTTAAGCATTGTGTCGTTGATAAATAAACTCAGTTCAAAATGATCTCTATAAGTGTTTACTACATTCTCACGGATATCAAGACAAAAAAAGGATGAGAAAAAGACAAAATGGAAGCCAACTGAGACGAGTACGAGAAAGAAAACCGATGAATGTTACGGTCGGCCAACCAAGAACTGCGAGGTTCCAACACGCCAAAAAGATGCGCGGTAGATAGAGAGAGAGAGAGAGAGAGAGTGTGTGTGTGTGTGTGTGTGTGTGTGTGTGTGTGTGTGTGTGTGTCCAGTACATTCTCCCAACTCGTTTTGTCCCGAGAAAAAACATTGTTGGGTTGGCTCAGGCATTCACGATCCGATTCATGTATAGCCGATAAGTTAGGGTCTGATACCCTTCACAAGCACATTTAGCATCATCTGCCTTGACTCGAGCTTGAGCAATGAAATCTGCCATCTCCAACTGCGTAGAAGCTGTTATCGCAATCTCATCTATTCTGTCTTCTTCTGCTTTCTCTGCGTGACCCCCTCGGTCTCACTGTTCTGCCTTTGTTCTAGGCTATTCTCGAAGCTGCAGCTGTTCCCCATGTCTAGTGTGCTGAGCCATTATATTTCTCTTCTTGCTGTCTCTTCCAGCATTTCTTCCATGCTGGTTTCCTGCGTCTGGGCTGCGCCACACACACTCTATCTCTGTATCGTGACTCCGTTCTCCGCTACCGCGCATGTTGGAACATCGCAGTTCTTGGTTGGCCGACCGTAACATTCATCGGTTTTCTTTCTGGTCCTCGTCTCAGTTGACTTCCGTTTTGTCTTTTTCTTATCTCTTTTTCGTCTTAATAACCGTCCTCCCATCCATTTCCTCTTTAGCCTGATATTTAATCTATCTCATCGTCTTCTCCTTATTCTTTAAAACGGTCTTTGATCACATTCCCATTCATCATGTTTTTATCTTCTCGTTGGATCTCTCGGATCGCTTCCATTGTTCCGCTCGAACAAATTACTTGTTTTTCCATTTTTCCTCCTCTTGTGCCGTCATTGTTTATATGGGTTAAGGGGCAGTCGGAACATTCAGGGCTTTGCGCTGATATACGAGCAGTCTTCTTTTTCCAATAAGGTTCTCTGATGTTTCGGTTATTCCAGAAGAATGCGGAAATTTCGACCCAGATGAAGAGCCAAATTTAATGATTTTGATATGGCTTAAAAGGCTCTGAATATTTTTTGCGGTAATTTTATGCAAAAGTCATCAGGCAAAAAAAGCCTTTTAAGCAAAATTATTGAGAGCCTTTTAAGCATATCCTATGCATTAAACTTGGCTCTTCATCTGGGTCATACTTTCTTCCTTCTTCTTGAATATCAAATTATAAGAGAAATTTAAAAAAAACAAGACTGCTCGTACAAAATGGCAAGGGCCTGAAAGTTCCGAGTGCTCCTTGAACCATATCGAATAGGTTTTTGGGAAAAAGAGTTATTGAAAAACTATAAATTTTGAACAATATCAAAGATCAAGTGTATATATTTTTTATTTAAATGTATAAATATGCATAGATATGTTTACGAGATAACCAAAAGTCATCTGATTTCAATGAAAAGTGTACATTGATCGGTTGCAGATATACTCCACAGTAATAAAAAACAGTTAGCCCAGGGCCTTGAAGTTCCCGCGCAGAATCTTTTTCCAGTCCCCTCGGTCTGATATGCCTCGATTTGGCACGCACTATATACCAAGTTTAAGGGGGAGCGCGCGCCGAAAAATTTTTTTTTGTCAAATTTTTCAAAACAAGAGCCTAAAAATGTTTTTTTTTTGTTTTTGGCCTGTTTTTATTTCAAAATTTGCCTGCGAGCGATAAGAAAATCAATTTGGTCGATTTATATAACCCGAGTCGAAATTTTTCACCTAAATTGAAGCAAGATTTGAGCGGTTTGAGCGTTTTTTTTAGACAATTATGCTCAAAATCTTGCTTCAAAATGAGCGGTTTGAGCCTTTTTTTGAACGGTTTATCTAAAAAAACCGCTCAAAAATCGCGCAAGGTTTGAACGGTTTTGAGCGGTTTACCTAAAAAAAACCGCGCAAGATTTAATAATAAAAAGTCGACCACCGAGGGATTTGAACCCGCAATCTTCTGATTCGAAGTCAGACGACTTATCCGTTAGTCTATGCGTACTTGCTGGAAGCTTAATATTCGCTGTATTTGTTCTACTGAATATGTTCAATGTTTTAGACACATGCACAACAAATATACTGTCAGGATTTTTATTGTCAGTCTCTACAAAATAACAAAAATAATCGATTATAAGATCGCAGATTAACCCCCCCCCCCCCACCTCTTACTTGTTCGCTGTATTTGTTCTACTGAATATGTTCAATGTTTTAGACACATGCACAACAAATATACTGTCAGGATTTTTATTGTCAGTCTCTACAAAATAACAAAAATACTCGATTGTAAGATCGCACACCAACCCCCCCCCCCCCCCACCTCTTACTAGGGTACGTTGGGGGGGGGGGGGGGGGGGGTGGGGTTGTTGACGTGAAGAGCTGGTCAAAAATGCTGTTTTTGGGCACTTTTTGGAAAATTACTACATATTGGTCGCCCCTGGATGAACGTGTTCGTTCGAGTTTTGCAGAGAAGAGAAACGTTGAGTCTGGGACCTCGACCCGGGAAGACCGCTCAAAAACCGCTCAAATCTTGCTTGAAAAACCGTTCAAAAATCACCGCAAGAAATGAGCGGTTTTTGAGCGGTTTTTCAAGCAAGATTTGAGCGGTTCGAGCGGTTTTTCCAAAAAAACCGCCCAAACCGCTCAAATCTTGCTGGAAAACCGCTCAAATCTTGAGCGGTTTTTGAGCGGGATCTCGACCCGGGAAACAAAAGGTCGACAAAATTTAAAAACAAATTATGAAAATCCCCCTCGAGAAAATCTTAAGTCCGCCCCTGGTCCCTTTGGCAAAATTTGTAGGTCACCAATTAAAACGCAAGGATAGTAAATTTCGATTCTTTATTTTCTCTTTGTAGGTTATCGAGAACTCTTTGGTGGTTTTGATCTTCATGAAGGACGGAAATGCAAACATATCATATAAGCGCAGGTCAGACCAAAAAGTAGCTGAGCGCGCTCTGTTTTTAATTGAAATCTTGATTAATGTGAGCTCCAAGTCAATTGAAACACTGGAAGTAGTTAACAAAATGTTGGAGAAGTTGAACCAACTCAGCTATCTGCACCAACCACATCCAGACCATATGACAACTTCAGGGTCCCTCATCACACCAGAAGACACAAAAGATACTATCGAATGTGCCGAAAAGATGTACCAGCTGGCTCGAGAGGCAGTTCCCAACGTGTAAAATAAGCAGACGTTCTGGATAAGGGGAAAAAATTTTGCCGCATTGCAAAATCCATTGAAACGAAAACTAATCAAATTTAATATTAGAACGATTACGTAGTGTATGAACTAATGAATTATATACGGACTAAAGCTACATCTCTAACAATCCCCTCTCCCTCTATTAAAGGTAACGTTGCTATTTTCAAATTTCGCTGTTTTCTATTTTCTTGTCAGTTTATCTTTTTAAAGGATTGATATTTCTAGGAGTTGAAATAAATGGGTTTTTTAGAGGGAGAGTGTAAAAATGCGACTGTAATCCAGAGCCAATTGCTTTTTTATATACTTCACTGACTCATCTATAGTACTAAAACAGAAAAACCAGCAAAAAAAGTAACAAACGAATGAACTTGAGGCTCCTAAAAATTCGACGAAAAATGTATCGACAAATGTACCATTGAGTTCCTGGAAAATATAACTTAAGTTTAGTTTTAGCTAATTGTTTATTATGGATTTTCATTCAGATTGTTCGACATTTATATTTAATTATTTATAATCCCAAATTTACTTGCTTAAAAAATTTCTAATCGATTCTAATCGTGACAATTTTCCAAAGATTAAATTTTTTTGTAATCTATTATAAATGACTATAGTTTCTACAGAAAAACTTTGAATCGATTAGAATCAATTATGATTGCAACACTTTCAAAAACAGCAAACCTGAAAAAATCAACGATAATAGATTATAAGTATCAAAAACTTTAAAGTTGACTTAAGTTTTTTCTAGTCTATCATTTGCTCTCTCGCTTGTAATTCGACCAACTTTTCGAGCTCGAATTAATTTTCTTTTGATGCTTTCAGCAGGGGCGGATTTAGGGGGGGGGGGGGCAGACGCCCCCATCAGGGATTCGACCCCCTGCCGACCCAAAGGGTCCCCCCTTTTGTACTTTTTAAGAAATCCATTTGTGGCCGACCAACCCTAAAAATTTTCCAAGGGCGCCTTTGGCGCCAATATATACTAACTTTGAGGGGGAGCGCGCGCCAAAAAAAACGCGATTTATTTGTCAACATTTTCCAAAAAGTGCCCAAAAACGGCCCGAAAATTTTGCGAGAACAGCGTCTTTTTAGTGGTGCTTTAGGAGAGCTCGAAAAATCAATTTGGTCGACCTAAAAAAATGGTCGTCAAAATTTTCGAAATTTTTTTGAAAATCCGCCCCCCCCCCCCTCGAGAAAATCCTAGATCCGCCTCTGCTTTTAAGACCATATGTGGGTCATTAAATGTGTATTTATCAATTCGCATTCATGAGAACCTTGTATTTACCGAACTGATTGCAACTTAAACCATTTCTTCATATATTTTGAACGCATGCCCCATAAACTGCGTAATGATAATTTCATTGTACAAAAAATATGAAAAAAAATTCATTGTAATAATTTTGATTGAAAAAGTTTGCATTTTTGGATGAGTTAAATGAATGAAGCCCTATATATTCCGTCTGCATTTAAAGTATCCATAGTAGCTTTTGGTTAGAAGTTCTATAATTGAAAAATAATGGAAAAAAGTATGTTGTTTTTTTATGAGTAATGTATTATTTGGTGTATGTATTATTGGGTGTATGTATTATTGTTGGGTGTATGTATTATTACAATTTAGTTTGCCTGAAGTTTCTTTCAAATGAATTTTGTCCCTGATATTTACCGCTTAAATTACTTGATGACAAAGAAACTGGCCAGTGGATCGCATTGTTTATCTAGATCATGTATGAAATGATCGCTAAATCTGTGAGCACCTCACCAGTTTAGTTATTTCCTCGCATCCAGTTTTTTGGTATTTCGTGCATCAGTTCCCTGTTTAATGCCATCTTGATTTCAGGCTTATAGTAGTGAAACGTGGCACAGCTGACCTCATTAATTTAATGGAGGTTATCGTGATCATGGCCCACTCCGTCGTTCTCGTATTTCCACGATAGTTTTTTCCAAAACTTCTTCTGATGGGTTCTCAGGAAAGGTACTCTGGCAGCGCCATTGATCGCCTTTCTGCAAGGCTATTCATGTTGCAACTTCGTATTTCGGGCAATGGTTTGGAGGGATTCCATAAGCTGCGGGAGGCTCAATTTCGTCGTCGTTGTCCCACGTCTGAGCAACCTTCTTTGGCAATTGATAATTCGACGCCACATTTTATAAAATTTTGTCATCCACTGTTTGTCTACCGAATACATAGGGTACATACATAGGTTGCCCTGGGTTTTTATTTCTTTACTTGCAATCTGGTACTGTCTCAAAAAGAGCTGGAGTCAACAGAGCTTTTCTCAGAGTATCCTTACTGACATAAGCGACTACCATTGGAGTTACCTTCGAAGCCGACACCCCTCGTCCTCGTGAGACTGGCTCTTCCACTTGAAGCCCTGATTTTTTTCTTCTAGCTTTTCAGGTTCTCAAGATCCCGGTTAACTCATTCATTGCCTCGTCACACTCTCGTAGCGAAAAAGGTGCAATGCAAGACTGCAGCAAACGTTTTCAGTCTACAAAGTATGGATATATGAAATCTACGAAAACATTAATTCTATCTTCTCTCATTCGTTTCAAAGGCTCGCAAAACAGGCGCTTGCACGGCCAATTTAACTTCTAACATCATCCTATTTGCCAGTAAGCTTGCTGTCCATCTCAGTCCCAAGCATTCAAAAATTGGATTCGTTTTACGAGTCCTCATTTTCGTTCAGTTTTTGCGTCAAGAAAAGTTCCTAAGACGCCCTCTTCACAGAGTCAATGTTTCGTCACCGTGATTCCTTCATGCTTGATTTGATCCAACGTCCTCTTTGAAAAATGAGTATGGATCTCGTTGATCAGACAAGGGGCTCTAAAATGCATCCAACCCCAGGGTGCCAACAGAGGGGATAATTGAAACGACTTGTTGATTTCTGGTTCTGTCCTCAATACCGCCGCACCCATTTCAGCATCTGTTTCTGGCGTTTTAAAACAACCTCTTAAAATATTAAGGTTCCACAACCACAGATCATTCGACATTTCCACTATAGTTTGGTGACGTCGTCTACGCCAAGCTTCTGTTTCAATAGTCGACTGAAATTGGGCGTTTTTGATTTCAAAATTTCCTACCGTTTGAGCGAAATCAACGAAAGCACTTTTAAGCCCTCTTGGCTTTGGAGAACTCTGATCACACTGCGGGCAACTCCAATCTCACTGAGTGGCCTCAGCGGTGTCAATTTACATAGACAATTTAGAGCGAAGATAACTCGTTAAGAGCGAAGATAACTTGGTACGTTTCGACCGTCTCGACCAAAATATGGTATGCTTCGACCGTGCTCGATCCAAGAAAGAAATGTTTAGATCGTGCTCGACGAAAAATATGTATTCGACCGTGCTTGACCCAAACAAGATATGTTTCGACCGTGCTCGACCAAAAAAAAAACATTGCTCCAACGTGCTCGACCAAAAAAAAACATTACTCCAACGTGCTCGACCCAAGAAAGAAATGTTTAGATCGTGCTCGACGAAAAATTTGCACTCGACCATGCCTGATCCAAGCAAGATAGGTTTCGACCGTGCTCGACCCAAGTAAATGTTTAGACCGCGCTCGACGAAAAACATGTACTCGACCGTGCTCGACCCAAGCAAAAAAATTTTCCGGCCATACTCGAACAAAAAAATGTGCTTGACAGTGCTCGACCATACCCGGGTAGAGATCCCGCTCAAAAACATTTCAAGATTTGAACTTTGTAAGAGGTTTTCTAGCAACGCTTGATCGGTTTGAGAAGTTTTTTGTTGAAAAAATTGCTCGAACCGCTAACCTTTGGCTTTAAAGAACCGCTAGAAGGCCATTCAATTCTTGCGATGGTTTTTGAACGGTTTTTCATACAGGATTTGAGCGGTTGTTGAGCGGTTTGACTTAAAAACCGATCAACGCATCAAAAACCCGAAAAAAGGCAATGTAACTCTCAGAAGCACATAAAACACTTCTTACATTTTGACCCTCTGACTATAAAACTATTAATTCTGACTGAATTACTTCTGACTTCATGCAATCTTTGGGAAACAGCTGTATTTGATATCGATGGCTGTTTCAGCCATGGTGGTAATTTTGTGATAAACCATAAGTATTTTCATCCCCATGATTTTCTTACTTCCTTACTCACAACTACACTTCAAAGTTTAACAGTAAATTACCATCCCTGGTTGAGCCTAAAGTTTTTTCCTTTGATGTTACTAGTGCTAGTTTTACGGCGAGTCGACTTTTTCTAACCAGCGCTGTTTTTATTGCACACGAATGAGCTCTGCTGTCAGGACCGGTAAAAGTCTTGATAATCCGTCCAAGGGGCCAGATATCACGCGGGTGGTAATCCTTCAGTATCCATACAAGGTCTCACGTGTTATTAACGCCATCTGGTTGCGAGCAGTTTGTTCGGCATTTTAGCTTCCGATCATACTCTTTCAGCAGGTGACGTCAAAAGCAATCCAAGGTCCAGCAGGACAATTATTTAATCATGTGAACGAGTCTCTCCTATACCTCAGCAAGATGCGGAGCAGAAGGAGGATTTGTTTTCCATCTGATGCCTTGATCCAGTAGATAGTCGGCTATGTCTTTATCGAATGACAGCGACTCTTAGAACAACTGCTATTTAGCTCCAATAAAATACGTCGCGTTGTCCAAGAATAGCCGTTGCGATGAGTCTGGGCGTGCTATGAACCAGCGGATAGCAGTAAATCGACCCTCCGTTGTGAAGCATGTATTGCACGAGTCGATTACATCAGCTTGTAAATCGAGCTTCGGAACGCTTTCTTGTTTCAATGGTGATAATTTAGCTCAACTGATGGCAAAATTGGCCCAATTTTTTGAGTCTGTAATTGTTCGAATATAGGTTGCATTGGCAAAAACATGCAGCTGCAAATTTGGGGTTTTCGCTATGAGACCTACGTAGCGAGGAAATTTTACGCAAAGTCCTTGTCGACATTGAATAAGTTTTTCCACAATTTTGACATACTCGATTAATATTTCTTCATCTCATGAATCTTCAGATCTCCAGATAACTTGCGGAAGGATTTTCATGATAATCAAAAATAGGGCAAGCAACTCTGACGGGTCAAATATTGTATCAATTGAACAAAGCATTCGACAAAATGTCACATTGTAGTTTTGATTAGTGTATTTGCCCTGAGTTTTCAAAAACATGCTGTCTTTTTTTGTCATCATAAACATGGAGTAATCTTGGTGTCAAAATAATTCCCACAACGACGGTTTCAGGCAATATGATCAAAACTTTGGGTTTGTTTGAAACAAATGAACAATCTGCAATTGAAGGCAAACATTTGGCACCAAATATCAATCTGCTATACTAATTTGCAGTGGTCCACAAGAATTGTAGAATATTTTGGTTGGATTCTTTAACGCCAATTTCCAGGAACATACATTCGACATCGCCAGTTACTGCAACTGGTTGTTCCTGAAAACGAAGAGACAATCCAAACTGGTTGTTGAGAAGATCATGTCCAGCTTTTAAGCGCAGTTCAAGGAGATACCTAGAACATTGGAAGCAGCATATGCCACTCGCCTAACTTTTCATGGTTTGTTTGCGTTTGAGACCA